CCCACCAAAAGTCAGAAACCAAATTAAAATGAATACGCTATACATGTTACACATTGAGTAAACACATTGAAGCAAACAACATGTTACACATTAAGTTCATGTCTTCTCAGAACAAGAAACATTCTATATCAGATGAAGTGATATTGAACCTCATACAATGTTGTCAAAGCAGATATGCTATTTCCTCTAGTATGAAATAAGCTGCGGATTTATAAGCACTGTAGAAATGGGCATTTACAAATGTAAAATAGCTATTTAAAAAGGCACTTTAAAAATTTGCTCTTTATTTATGTACTTTCTGGAAAGTTTCTGAAGTAAACATAATATACAGTAGATGCTTTCAAGTAATGTCTAACGAACTAGCAAACGAATCTCGTGGAAGCTAGTTGGGTCGCGTGGTAAGGGATTAGTAACAGGAAATCGCCTTGCCACAGGAGGGGGAGAAGGGTTTTTCCAAAAAGTCAGCACGCGGCAAAGGGAGACACGAGGCTCTGGGGTCCTCCGGTTTTAAGGAACGAAGACCCAAACCTCAGGGGAAGCAGTGCGCTGCGGAGGCGGCGTGACGTAGTAGGTCACGTGAGCCTCGAGTATATTAGGGAGTGCACAGAGCCAGTGGGTGAGTTGGAGTTGGTGCACAGAGCCAGTAGATGAGGAAACGGACGACAGCGCCAGTACACTTACAAATTGTACAGTCGAAGAAGTTTCGACAATTAAATGCTTGCGTAGTCGCAAGGCACAGGGACCTGACCGAATAAGCCCTCCCATCCTTAAGGAGGCCCTTCCGGCCATAAACATGGAGCTGACGCGAACCTACAATAGCTGCATTACACAGCAGTACTTTTCGGAAAATTGGAAATATGCAAGTATTTCTATGCTTCCGAAACCCGGTAAGGATCTCACGATCGCGGCGAGCCACCTGTCTATCAGTATTCTCCCGGGTATGGGAAAGGTATTTGAGAGGCTGCTACTCGCTCGAATTCTACCAACGGCTCTCTCGCGGAACCTCATCCGAGATGAACAGTTTGCTTTCAGACTGGGCCATTCAGCATCAATACAAGCACTTTGCATGGCTCAGCAGATTTCCGCTGATGTTACACAGGATGTACCTGTCATATATCTCGACATGGTACAAGCCTTTGACAAAGTGCCACACAGCACACTCATCACCAAACTTCGACGCTGCCTTCCACAAGATGTAATTGAAATGGTTACATCTTTCCTCACAAACGGCACATTCGTGGTAAAAAAAGTCAATCATCAAACCGGAGGATTGCGGCTGGAGTCCCTCAGGGCTCCGTCCTCTCTCCGCTACTGTTCTCGATGATTGTCAATAATATCTCACATATACTACGAATATGGCTCTTCCTTAATGC